TATCTAATTCTAATCTCAGCTATTGTTATTAGAATCCTTTTCCAATGAGTTATGGATAATAGAATTGCTAAGGTGGTTGCGAAATGTATTTAGCAAGTACCGCTGTTAATATTGAAGATAGTAATCTTTTGGTTTGTGGTATAGCTGGGGAGTTAAATTATCATGGAGTTAATGATGATGGACTTGATGACGCCTTTGTGATGAGATTGTCTGAAACTGGGTGGGTCGAATGGTATACTTAATTATCCTTTTAAACCGGAGGCACTTTCATCTCTACAACAGTTGCATTAGTTCTAGAAAAAGTTTACTCATATCTTTCATCAAATAGCAATTCTTAGAGTGATAGGTATTAGTCAATAGTAAGATTAGATTACAATGATGGTAAACTAAATTGGGCTAAAAAACTTAAATTAATTAATCCAATTGATCCCTTAATACCCCTAGTTATCGAAAGAATTAGCGATATGATGATGAATCCTTGGAATAATACATAAATTCTATTCCAGTGTAGATTCTTTTATAATACAAATTATCAAAGCATGGGAAATCTAATGATTAATGACGATAACTCAAATTTAACCACAACCTTCATGACTTTAGTGCAATCTATTGCAACACCAACAACATCTCTCTTTGTTCCTGGATAGATTGTTTATGATTAAGATGATAATTATGTTTACACTGGCTTTTCTGCTTATACTACTTCTGCCTCTTCAATTGATACAATAATTCTAAAATAAAATACATCAAATGGTAGTATCATATGGAGTAGATCCTATAATAATGGAAGAAACTATGACAGTAATACATAAAAATTGCTGCCTGCATTGTCTTTGAGCAAAAAAACTAAATTCTTATATGCAGCTTAGGCAGATGGTTAATCACATTTAATAAAATTAGATACTAATGGTGCAACTGCTAAGAGAATTTCAATAAATATTGGTTATGATTAATCATAATCTCACGCTGATCTTATAGTAAATGACGACTCAGGTTTAGTTATTGTTGGAGGATTCATTTTGTCAAGAAGAGAGTATTGTATTGTTACTCTTAACTTAAATCTTGAATATGTGAATGGAGTATATTAAGGACACAATTCCTATTAAATAACAACGGGAAGATAATTTCAAATGGTATCTGATTGGTTCTACATTGCTGCAACTACAACATTTTTTCAGAATAGTGCAGAAGAATCATCAGAAATCCTTATTTCAAAAAAAAGTATAAGACTATAATCAGAAAACTCTAAATATGAATGCCATCCTTATTATCAATCAAATTACTTTTCATTGTTAACAACATACCCAAATGCAAACAATTAAGTAATAAACTCTGTGATATTCATATCCAATGATTAATAACTTGTACTAACAGAGCCTAAACTTCGAGCATACTAGCTACAGCAGTTTCACACAGCAAAATTAACGCCTAACTCTGATTAAAGTCATACTAAATTTTTCTCAGGATCAAAAGATTAACTTAGTTGTTCCTTAGGTGGACTTACTAGACCATTATAAGAAATAGATCCGATAGAAGTAACAATGGGATAAGTTGTTGAAAAAGTAATAGACTTATCAGTATTCAAATAATGCTAAGGGCAAATTTTAAACTACGGCCAAATTCTAGATGACCGAGATAGTAATATAAGAGCTCCAGAAAACATGTATTTTACCATTACCTCTAATAAGATTATTGTTGATGCAACAGTTTCACCACCTTATCCAGGTTTTAGACACTTGAAAATCTAAAATGTTTGTACAGAATCAGGCAAATGCCATGCTGTATCAGTACCATTGATAATTTGGCCAAGTATATAAACTCCAGATGCTCCAAAAACACCTCCTTAATAATTGTGCTCTTCAATTTAAAACTATCCAAAAATATTAGGAAATCCAAGCTATTCATCATTTCATACGGGAGCAGATGTTGATTAGGATAATGGAAATTTTATAGCATGTGGAGGTCTCAATTATGGGAATGATTATATTACAAATTAATACGTAAGTACTGGGAAAGTTTAAGGTTTTATACTTTTGTCTGATATCAATGGCAGAATATATTGGTTTTACTCTTCAACTTTTTATTATACTTCTGATAAATAATATTTTGCATCATGTGCTTTTAGTTAAGACAAGCACATTTACAGTATTTTTCTTAATTAAGATCACACTCTTATTGGTTTAATTAAATAATCTTACGAAAAAGGAAAAATATAATACATAAAGATTGTTAGGGGCATTTTTTACTAAGATGAAACAACAGTAAAGATATTTACAGATAAATATGATTCACGATATATCTTTATGATGGCCATAAGGTTAGATAATGGTGATTTTTCAAATTACATTATGAAGATTGATGTTTCATAGTAAGTGCCTCTGTATGTATGGTCTAGTGACTAGAGCTTTAGTGGTAATACAAAATATCACAGAACTAAAACAATCTTGCCTCATAAAGACCATATCTATTCAATGGGTACAGTTTTAATTACCAGTTACTGGTACTTTTAACTTACCAAATAGGATAAATTAACAGGTCAAAATCTTAAGATGATACATTTCTAGAATTGGGAATTAAGTGATTTAATGTTGATCAATTTACTTATCGATGAAAATACTCTTTATGTATAGTCTTCTGATCACTTAGTTTCTCCAAATTAAACAAACTATCTTAGAACATATGATTTAAATCTTAGTCC